AATAAAGAAACTAATGGTATTGTAATAAAACAGACACATTGATTAAAGGAACAGGATAGAGAGTCCAGAAATAAGCCTATGCATTTATGGTCAATTAATTTTTGACAAAGTACCAAGAACATACAGTGAAGAAATGACAGTCTTTTTAATAAATAGTGTTGGGAAGCTGACAATAGTGTTGGGAAGCTGAATAAAGTTGCTCTTATCTCACACTGTATATAAAAATCAACTCAAAATGGACTAATGAATTAAATATAAGACCTGGAACTATAAAACTACTGGAAGAAAACAAAGGGAAAATGCTCCAAATTTTTCTGGGCAAACATTGTTTTTTGCATATGACCTGCAAAACTCAGCTAAGGAAAGTAAAAATAAATACCCAGTATTGCACCAACTTAAGAGCTTCTGCATCACAGAACAGACAATTAATAGAATGGAGAGACAATCCATGGATGAGTGAAAACATTTTCTAGTCATGTATCTGATAAAAAGCAAGTATCCAAAACATATGAGAAACTCAACTCAACAAGGAAACAACTATAACCCAGTGAAAAATGAGCAAAAATCCTAAATAGTTCTCAAAAGAAAACAAATGGCTAACATGTATATGAAAAAAAGTTTATCAACACTAGTCATCAGGGTAATGCAAATTAAACCACAATGAGATACTATCTCACGCCTGTCAGAATGGCTATGAACCTGAAGGTAAACATAAGAAGTGTTTGGCAGTAGAGCAGAGAAGAGAGAAACTTGGTGTATTGGTGGGAATGTAAACTAATACAGCCAGTATGGAAAACAGTATGGAGAGTCCTTAGAAAAGAGGTGTCATGTAATCTAACAATCCCACCTCTGGGTATATATACATTGGAATTGAAGTCAATATGTCAAAGAGACATCTGTACTTCCATGTTCACTGCAGCATTATTCACAATAGTCAAGATATGGAAGCAACCTAAGTGTGATCATCGGATGAATGGATTAAAAAATATGGTACATACACACAGTGGAACAATATTCAGCCTTTTAAAAGTTGGAGACTCTATATTTGTGACAACATGGATGTACCTGGGGACATTATGCTAAATAATATCAGCCAGACAGAAAGACAAATACCCATACAAATTCACTTATGTAGAATCCCCCAAAAAAGAAAGAAAAATGAACTTGGAGAGGTATGGGGTAGAATGAGTTGCAGAGAGAGGGGATAGATGAGGAAAAGGAAGATGCTTATCAAATGGTGCTCGGTTTCACTTAGATGAAAGGGCTAAGCTTTAATGATCTATTGTGCAGAATAGTAAATATAATAAATTATAATGCATAAGACATTGTAAAATGTATATTTCTAAATTTCTAAATCAGTGGATGTTAAAATTTTTTGTTTCTTTAAATTTTTTGTTTTAGGGCTTTTTTTAAAGTTAGCCTAAGTAAAGCATTTCATACAAATAAAAACATCACATATATAAAAAAATCCACATATATAAAGATATCACAATGTACCTCATAAATATTTACAATTAGGGCTGGGTAGGATGGTGCACACTTGAAATTCCAGCTACTTGGGAGCCAGAGATCCAGAAGGTCATGGTTTGAGGGCAGTCCAGGCAAAAAATTAGCAAGACACATCTCAACAAACAAACTGGTGGTTATTCACACCCGTAGTCCCAGCTATGTGGGAAACATAGGTAGGGTTGCTGTTCAATGTGATTTCCAGGCAAAAACATGAGACCCTCTTGGAAAAACTAGCTAAAGCAAAAGGGCTTGAGGCATTGTTCGAGTGGTAGAGTGCTTGCCTAGCAAGTGCAATGCCCTGAGTTCAAATCCCGGACACCAAATATATAAATATATATTAACAATTATTATAATTAATAAAATTATTATAATTAGCAAAAAGCTTAACAATTTAATTACAAATCATCAACTGTTAGGAGTTAAGCAGGAAGACACTATAAAGAGTAAATGAAAAGGGGGTAAATGGAGAAAGCTACTTTTGAGCTCAAATTTGAAGAATAAGCCAGTCATCTCTGAATGAGAGTATTATAGGCCATGAGTTCAGCAAGAGCAAAAGAACTTGTGGACTGGGATAGGCTGGGAGTGTGAGCAGTGGATCATACAGCAGAAGTGAGCAGGTGTCAGGACCATCAGGAGAATTTGTTACAACTCAGATTAGTAACCCCATATCCAGACTGTAGGTCTGGGTGGAGCCTGAAGGTGTGCTTTTCTCATAAGCTCCAGGTGATGCAGCTGCTGCTGTCTTGGGACAACACTCTGAGTGTCACTGTATTAGAGAGGAATTGAAAGAAGAAGGGAATGCTGAGGGCAGGTGGTAGGAAAGGGGGCTGGAGCAGAAGGGAGGACTGGAGGCCTGGAGGCCCTATGACTGGAATGTTGAAACGAGATCCACATTTAGTCCCAAACTGATGAGAAGTCACTGAAGGTTCTGTTGGTCTTCAATGGAAAACTTATCCTTAGATGGTTATAGTATGATCAATGTTTCATGGTTATCTGAGTCTATATGGTGTTCACCCATTAATGCATGAAGAGAAATTTGGAAATAACCTGTAATTCCCTCTGTATTTGATTCCTGACAAACAAGAAAGAATTATTTCTGTTCACTTTGCAGAAAAGAGCATAGATATGCTCCTACACCCGGGTTTGGAAATAAGAGACAAAGGCAAATCAGAGATGGCTACAATTCAGATCAACCTCGTGTTTGCTGAATCACTTTCTCTGAACCTGCACAGTAGTCCTAGGGCAGAAAGGACGAACCAAAACATATAACATAATTTCTAATAGCAAGCAGCATTCATAAATAGTAAAATCACAAACCAATTAGAGGATTACATTGCAGAGGATGATGCAATGTGCAATAAAATGCTAATTTGAATATTATCATATGCAAAAATTAATGGTGTGAATAATAAGTGATGTGGCCACTAAAACGGGAAAATTATTGTTTGAAGTTATTGGAGAATGTTTCATCTGGGGGAGGTGTTGAGGCTGGTCCTTAGAAAATGGTTAAAATATGGCAGTTAGAGGGAAGGAAAAGGCATGGGAAAGTCTTTGTCTTCAGATTCAATCAACTTGCAAAGAATTACTGTGGTTTTTTTTTCAAAGTTTTTGCCTTTCAAGGGAAAGCCTTCCATGTGTTTCTGATTCTTGAGTACAATTAAATTGTGAGTGCATTGTCTGGTGAGAGCTGTTTGGTCAGGGAGCCCTGTGGACTTCTCAGAAGCTTTTATCCTTTGAAAAAAGCTGTCCTGATTTGCCATTGTTAATGAAACTTGTATGACACACTGCTCAAGTTTAAGACCTACTGAGAACATGCCCACGTACCTCCTTTCATCTCTACATGGGGGAAACACATGGTAAATAGGATTTGCAGAAATCCAGCAGCAGTGCCATTCCCCCAGTGTTAGTAATTGTCTCGAGCTTTCTTATGTCATATCCTAATAGCTTTGTCTTGTGAGTGATGACCTGTATTGTTTCCACCCATCATGAATAAATACAAAATATCTTGCCCACCAAGAAGGTGAACCTTTTGTCGACCTGTATCTCTCTGGAACAGGTCCTTAGGATCCTGCATGCTTACGTTTTAATATTCTGTGCCTGAGTAAAGTTAAGCTTGGAAATTGCAAAATTTGCAGTAATTGGAATAGATACTTCTTCTTTTTTTTTTTTTTACTCTGCCAAGTACTTTAATGCATTGGTTCCTGACTAATAAATTTCATGAACCAAAAGGGCTCACTTCCTTTGCAGAGGTTCTCTGAAAAATCAGTGGAGTTATACTGAATATTAAGATATTTCAAAAGGTATAGGTTTATTTTTAACCCCAAGGTTTAGGTGAAAAATAGAGAGAATGGTTGAAAAGAGGAGGCTATCCATAAGGCCAAACATTTTTTTGATTTTCTACTCCTATTAAAGATTTTGTAATTTTTTTCCCAAATAGGTATATTCATATGTAAATTATATACATGTGCTATTATATTTATGTATTATGATTGTATGAAAGACGTGCAAAATATTAATAATAAAGAATTGATGGAATGAAAAATAGTATAATATCTAACATTTTCTTCCTATAATATTTAAGAGGACATACTTCTAAAATACCTAAGGAGCAGCAAGGTGCAGTGCAATAGTTCTCAAACTTTAGGCCGTGTGAGAATTTCCTGGAAGCTGATAAAAACTCCCCCACAAACTTTATAATTCAACAGGTCTGAGATGGAGCTCCAGAGTTTGCATTTCTAACAAATTCCCAAGTGATGTTGCTCTGAGGAATTCACTTTGAGAAACACTGGTGTATTTAAGAGCATGATCTCAAAGTTAGTCTCCTTGAGACAGATACCAATATTCTTGAATAAATGTGTGGCCTTGGGTGAATTTATTTACCTCTCTGAACTCAGTATTTTAAATGTGTGAAATGGAAGCAATAATTACTGTTAGAGTTGCTGGGGAGATTAATAAGGTAATGTAGATAAATTGCTTAGTACTCAGTGCTTATCACCCACAAACCATAATACATGTTGGGCTCTTTCTCTCCCTCCTCCCTCCCCTCCTTCTCATTATCAGAAGACATCTTTTTAACGTCACAAAGTAGACTTAGGGACTTTAAGTTGGTACCTTATTTCATTAAAATCATAAGAACACAGTTTTCTACTTCAGTGTTACACATTAACAAAGACTGTGCTTCACATGACAACTTTCTAGTTGAATGGTAGAGATGAAGCCCTTCTGAAAGTCTGCCTAAAGGAGAACAATGTGTTCAGCCCTCTCCCTTCTGTGTGTAATTGTTGCGAGTTTGTGTCTAAATATGTATTTCTGTCATCTTTTGTATATATTGAAATCTTGTTGCATGTATTGAGTTGACATTTTTGGTGGTTGTGTTTTTGAATGTTTGGGGGCATGAGAATGGAAAAATCAGTTGATTTCTTTGAATCTGACTAATTTGGGACATTTTTTTCTCTTTCTCCTTCATTCCCCTTCTTCTTGTGCATTATTAGGACCCAGTACTACCTGCCAGGAAGACTCATGTGCCAACCAGGGTGTTTGCATGCAGCAGTGGGAGGGCTTTACCTGTGACTGCTCCATGACGTCATATTCTGGAAACCAGTGCAATGATCGTAAGTACAATCTTTTCATACTTGGAATTTTTTCCAAGAAGTTTAAAGAAACCTTAAGGGACAATAGGTTAAAAATGATTCTTCTGAAGGATTCATAAGTAATTCTTCCAGAAAGCTGGAAAATAAATGACTACCGCTTGTATGGGACAAGCAAAGAGATGTTTCTTGCTCAATAATACTAGATGTTCTCCCATTTTCTTACCCTTTTCTTTAAATTGAATTATCTGTGACTGCAAAACAAAGACAGTACTTGAGGCATATTTTTATGTAAGGAGTTTAGTTCTCCATTAGTTAATTCATCTGGATAACAGTTTTGAGACTCTTCATTTATATTGCCTAGAATTTCAAGGATATTTAAGGAATGCAGCTATTTTCTCAAAAAGTTTGAGTTTAGAGAACGTCTTATTCCTTCCAAACTTTATTACTTTTTTTCAATTAGAAATTTTTGTGGCACTCTTAGGGTCTTTCATGTATAAGGCAAAGATTCACACTGGGTAAATTTTGTACACACAGCTATCCTGTTTATATACATATTTTTATTTTGTGAGTATATCCTTTGGCTGCATCTGTGTATTTGGCTCATATTTGAAGAGAATTTTGTGATCATTATTTTTGTCTACTACTGATGCATCAAATGACTTAGTTCTAAGAGAGGACTGCTTTCATGGAGGTGATTCTAGTCCTGATGGTAGAGGTCCTTCAATGTTGTGAGCATCTACAACCTGTCTCTCCACTTCCTTCTCATGTTATTTTCCTAACATGGCCATTTTAAAGACAAGCAAACACTTGAAATTCATTTTAAAAACAACACACACTTGGTGGGTCCTGCTGATCTTCTGATTTTCTAAACACTGCCTTTATGGTAGAAACTTGATTTACAGTCTAGACTCATTTGAACTGTTGCTTTTTAAACAAGAGCATGATGCTGTTGGAGCAAGTAGTAAAGTCACATGATGACATGTCTACATGGGAGCAGGTGCCAAGTGTAGTTCTATGACCCTCATGTCTGTTTAGTTTTACTTAATTCCTTGTTTCTCAGCTTTTATCATATGTATAGGTGTCCCTTGTAGTTCTCATTTCCACTTTTCTCAGTAGCTATTTGATCCATATGCTCTTTCATCTCTGAAGATACATTAAGAAGAAATAAATAGTGAATATGGCAATTGAGACAGGAATTGTATGATGCACATTCATCTAAATATAAGCATATGCCTTTATACCTATCATGCAAATGATATGATGTCTGCAGAAGGGTTTGTATCACATTGCTCTTGCCAAGTATTTTGATGTTGTAGAAAACCCTGTTTCCATATTTATGATCTGGAAACAGTATTCTGCTCTGAATCAGGACCAATCCAGGGTACCTGGGGAACTGTGCTATATTCCCTCCAAATTTGTCTGATAGGATCACTAGGAAGACTTTTTCTCCCCCTCTAACTGGTGGCATAATGCTTCTTTATTCTCATATGCTTATTCCTTACCACACATACATCCCACAGCAGGCAAAAACACAGTCAGGAAGAGACCCTGCATACAGAAAGACAGAAAGGTAAGTCACTCTAACAGTGGTGAATATGCACAATCTTCAGAAGGTATGTATGTCTTTTTCTAACATTGACAAGCTCTACTCTGTCATTCAGGGACAGGTATTTTCTGGTAAAACTCAACCAGGATTCTTTCCAGCTTTCTATGATTGTTTGATTTTGTCAGGTGCAGGTTGTGTCTCAGTCCAGAATATGGATTATTGCATACCTCACTAGGGCAATTTGTTGGTATATAATGAAGAACTAATACTAGGATTAAGAAAATGTCAGCCTTCCATTGTGATACTAGTTTGTTATGCTTCAAAAAAGGTTTCTATGATAGCCAGGTTTAGGGTAATGCATTTTGGACTTTATTCTGTAAACAATGCAGTTTAGTCTTCGTTTGCAGAAGGGCTAGGGACCCAAATTGCTAACAGAATCTGCTTGTCTGTCATCACTTGGAGAGTATACTAGGGCTTCTGTTATTGAATGATGATATGGAAATGAAGCAAGTTCACTTTAACTGCAGAATGTGACAGATAGAAATCAGATATACTGGATGAGACTTCTAGTGAAACTCAACCATATATATTTAAATGGTAGGTTTCTTAAAAGTGTTACAATGACAGTTCCTATATGCAAAGATCATATTTATGTTATTTGGGGGAACATCTCTTTAGGAACTATTATAAGGGCCAGTTTGTTCCACCTAGAAAACTATCGCCACAATTTTACATCATAGACAATTATTTTCTATATCAATCTTGACCCTTAGAGTTATAATTTGCTACTTCAATATGAAGTTACTTGTCTGATATTCCATTCATTAAGCAATGTTAATATGTTCCTAGTGGTGTAGTCTGTTGAAGGAGCTGTTAACCTTCACTGTTATAGTACAGTTGAACAGGCTTGTGCTTAGATTAGGCAAAAACATGGGCGGGGGGGGGAAATGCAAATATAGAAAGAGGGGATGAACTAAGTTAATGGAAAAGAATGAGGGGGGAGGAGAAGGATCTAGAGAAGATCAGGGATTGACTCTTCTGCAGAAGGGTATAGAGGCCATTAATACTTTCTTTGGTAACCTGCCTGCCACAAGTGGCCTGCCTTTGACCTAAAGAGCACAAATATGTCAAGACATTGTAAGTGGAACGCCATCTGTGAAATCTGACAATTCTCCAGAGAAAAATATTCTGTAGACTGTTCCATACATCTAAAATAAGTTATATTGCTTGAGATGTTATCATAATGCCATGTGAACTGGGTAGAGGTGAAATCTAATGTCAATGAACTTTTTGAGGAGAAAATGTTTGAATTTGTCAAATGACAGATTTGAGTAATTTCTGAAGGAGGTTGGTGTTCAATTAATGGAAATGAAAACATATCAATTTGTTACTATGCATCCAAGAACAAAAACTCATTCAACAGGTTAATGACTGGCTTTATATTTTTCACCACAGGTATTTTGTCCATCATATACAAAATAGTTTATATCTGGGTGTGACTTGCAAGGTTCTAAAAGAGAGTGTGCGTGGCAGGGTCTTCCTCACTTCTAGCACTAGTTTTGACACTCAAGACCTTTATTTTTTTCTTGCCTTTTTACCAAGTAAGGTAAATTTAAGAGGTTGTCACATAGATGTTGCCTTTAGGAGTAAAGTGTGCATTTTAAAACTTCATCTCGTTTAGCCTGAGTAGTCCAAGCCTGGATGGTTTTCACTTTATTTTGCATTCTTTATATTAGCTTGCTTGGCGGATGCTGTAGGGTGGATTCACTTGTAAAGATACCATGATTGTGAAGGTCTGATACATATTCTCTGGAGTTGACTACCTTCTATAAGAATGACTCCTTTTTATGGGACAGTAAACAAAAAACATCTCCTTAGAAAGCAGGTATAATTGATCTACTGATTGCTTGACATAGTTTTAGATATGACCTTTTTGCCAGGTTATGTAAGGATAGAATCATGAAGAGGAAGTTCTTCTCTATTGGGATGACTTTTAGGGATGTTTTGATACTACCATAGACCTAGACATCCAAGAAGCAATTTTGAGTTAATGTGGGATCCAATAAGATCTATGGAAGGACACATAAGTAGCATCTCCAAAGATAATCTTTACTTCTTCTGAAAAATTCAAACCAAAGGGGACTGACTTCTCATAATCAAGTAGTGAGCTCTACCTGAGGCCCATCTGCTGATACATGTGTTGGGCTACGCATAAAGAACAGTAGAAGAAATGGAACCTTTGGTATTTTAAATAAGGACTGATCCTGGGAAATCCCAATATGTTGTAGCCATTACACTAGCAGGCAAATCCAGAATTCCTTTTCTGTATTGTGTGACAGTGCCACTCCCGTTGGCAGCCTGGTGTTCAGTTCCTGTCTCCTCCACAGCTTGAAAAACATTGTACAAAATCTATCTGTCTTTCATGTGTTCACACATATGCAAAACAGGTGGTTATTTTTATTTATTTATTTATTTATTTTTGGCAGTACTGGGGATTGATCTCAGGGCCCATCCTGGTTAGACAAGCACTCTATTACTTGAGCCACACCCCCAGTCCTTTCTGCTTTTAGCTCCTGTAGGGCCTCATGCTTTTTAACCTAGCTTACCTTCTTTGCCTAGGATTCTTCTATTTCCACCTTCTGAATAGTTGGGATTAAAGGCATATATCCCCATGCCCAGCCCCCAAATAGTGGTTTTGAGCATCTTGTAGCTATCCTTACCAGCATCATTACCTTTTACCACATTCATGACAACTGTTTTGTGTTATATACAATTTGGGTAACTCATGATTGTGCTAGAGAAGTACATGTGGAATATTGAATCCTAAAGTGCACACAGGCACCTGAGTTTAAGAATAAGGTGTTTATACTGGCTTTGTGGATGAAGAGAGGGAATAAATGTGGGGACTCAGCCATCCTTAGCAGGCAGCTCTCCTAATTTTGCTAGTCATATGTTGTAGGCTGCTTGTTGGAGAAATTGCTAGGTTCACAGTGGCTTGTCATAATAGATGCTCTTTGCTTGCAACAAATCAATAGTGAGCAGCTGTGGGTCGTGCAAGATAGTGGAGTGTGAAGCACCTTTTCAGATAGCTTTCTGCTGGAGTGGCTGTTAAGCTGTGCTGTTGGTTATTGATTGGCCTTTTGCTTTTTATTTATTTGGTGGGTTTATTTATTTTTTTAATGTAAGTTGCTGTATTGATTAAGTCTGTTAAAAACACATTTCCCAATCAGGCTTCAGAAAAAATAAGCCATGTATGCATTATTTTGTGTTCAACAAGGACAGGACGGATATATGAATATTAATTCTGTCTCTTGGTTCCATACAGGTGCCTAAGCATTATGTTATCATAGTACGTCCATGTGCATGTGCTTATAACACCTCTGTTTTGAGGTTATTCCTGTCCATTCACTAGGCCCCTATTTGAGATTACTTTGTTTGCTGCTTAGAACACTCTTTATCATTTATTCACTCATCA